CGACACACACACACACACACACACACACACACACACACACACACACACACACACACAGAGAGAGAGAGAGAGAGAGAGAGAGAGAGAGAGAGAGAGAGAGAGAGAGAGAGAGTTTATGTATATATTTATGTATGTGTGTGTGTGTATATATATAGTATATATATTGTATATATATTTATATATATTAATGTTGTAAAAGTCATTGCTCGTATTCCTCTTGTTTTATTTAAGTAAACGTATTGCATTAGTCTTTAAATATCACTAATCGATGCAGTATACTTATTGTACTAAGAAGCAATAACAGAAATGGAACTAGAAAACAATAACACTGATTACTCGATGGCGAAAGGGTGTGGCAGCGCCATTGAGTCGTTACTCGCAGGAATAGAGCAAGTAGTGGGATAATACATGCGTTTGCGTGCATTTGTGTGTGCGCGCATATCTATGTGGTTGTATGAATAAGAGAGAAAGAAAGGTACAACGAGGGACAAAGAAAGAATCAAAGTGCGAAAGAAATAGAGAGGACAAGAAGTGAGACGAATAGAGAAAAAGAGAAACAGAAATGACGAGAGAAAGAGAAAGAGCGAGAAGGCGGTAGACGTGGCGGAAACTCGGAACGGTGGAGTGCGGATGGGGACAAGGATGAACCACCTTAAAGGGGATAGCATGAATCATGAGTAATCAATATTATACCTGCGACCGATATGGAAAAATTTTGGATAACAATGTAAGTACCATAACATTTTAGATCATTGTTTTAGTATTTTTATCGTTGTTCGAATTGCTTACTTGTACAGCATACTTTTTTTATTATACGAAATATTTTTAACGAAATTTCGTAAGTACAATCTTGAACGAACTTCAACGAAATTTTTAAAAATTCAAATTTACAATTGTAAATTTTTATAACTTTAATTAATATTATTACATATTTGATTAAAAAATGTATAAATATATAATAAACTACTGTAAAATAGTACAAATATAAATGAGATTAAGGAACTTATTTTTAATTTAAATACTTTTTACGTGTATATTAGTAATTGATCTTTTTTATTTATGTTTTTAATTGTTCTTCATTATATTATGTTATGGGTAGTAACTTAATTTTTATACAATCTTAATTACAAATTAAATTACCATTATTATATTACTTTTATACATGTACATAGCTTCACATTCATTTTAATACTTAAGGTTATAATATTTTCATGTACAGCGTTTATTACATCGAAAAATCTACTTCTTGATCAAATCGTAATGGTTGACTTGAATCTAATAAACCAAACATTTTACATAATGCATTCATGGCAGCCACATTTCTTGCTTCTGCAATATCTTGACCAAATCCTAAAAATATAATCTTTTAGTTATTAAATACAAAATATGAAAAAATTGCAATATTTACCTGAACCTAAGAATTGTTTATTACAGTAGACTGCAACTTGATAAGCTGATAGAATAGTATTTTTCCCAGCTTGTCCAATAATTCTAGGTTCCACAGGTGAGTTTTTTTCTTTATAGATTATACTATTCAGCATTTCAAATGGTTCAGACGGGCACCAAATCTCTGTTAAATCTTTAGTAGCTAATCCAACTATCAGAAAATCTCGAACAAAAGCACCTACATGTTTGGTATCAGTACTTTCGGTGAGTGCTCCCACTAGAGCTAGAAATGTCTTGGCTACTGTTTCTTGTGTTACGGGGTGTTCCTAAGTAAAAGAAAAATACATTGATAGTAATAAATTAGACATGAAAATAATTTTATATGAAAATATACATACACCACTCAGAATAATATCTTTTGTCCCAATATGTAATGATGCTTCAGCCAAAATTTTTTGAGACATAAGGTAGTCATGGAAAGCCCTAGAATTAAAAGTTGATATAATAGGATTAATTATGCATTATAAATTATAACAGTCAACAAAGCATATCTGTATACATACATGATACCAGATGCAGGTACACGTGGGAAAGATTTAGTTAAATAATTTACAACAACCTTTGAAGTTATTTCTCTTCCTACTTCGATTAAACCTTCATTGTGCTGAATTTCGAGTTTAGGGTCAATCACTCCCATTTCTTCTTGTTTTTTTTCTTCCAGAAAAATATATGATTTATGAATGAATGCTTGATTTAATTTATCTATTTTAAAATTTTCAGAGAGCCTTTGATTAAATGCATATAACTCTGCATCTCTGTTCCACTCAAGGAAAGTACTACGTTTTGGTTGCTCTTTAGGTAATCTCCTTTTTCTGTTACATATTTCTCGTTCAGTTGGTGCAACCCATCGTTTGATGTGTCTACAATCTACATGTACAATTAATAATTCATATATTTAAACATATTATGCAACTGTATTCATAAATAAAAATTCTTACCTTGATAATTCGCAGATGTTACATTCATAAGATTTTTAAAGCACGGTCGTAACCTATTCATGATCATATTTCATAAAACAAAAGAAAAGAAGATTTTCTTTTAGATATGTATGTATTTAGTTTTACTTTAATAAAATCTTAATTCATTTCATATTACATTACGTGTAATAAGAATAATTAATAACAATTTACTCGACTACAAAACCTAAAATATGTTTATTATCCTTACAATAAGAAATCAAACGTAACATATGAATGCTAGTTACTAAGTATACATACGTATATGTAATTATTTAATTGTTGCCACTTGAAAACTTAAAAATCTCTATTGATTCAGTCTGTTCATCAGAATCGTGTTATAACCTGA